TACCGTACCGTTACCGTTACGTACGTACGTACGTACGTACGTACGTACGTACGTACGTACGTACGTACGTAGTAGAGAGAGAGAGAGAGAGAGAGAGAGAGAGAGAGAGAGAGAGAGAGTCCCAATAGTCATAGTGGCCACTCCATCCTGTGTGACTTTTTACCTTTTGCAGTTTCTGTACTTGTGCAAATTTAGTGATACTAAATAAACATTGGTGTCACAACAATAGAGATTTTAAACAAGTGATGGCTATTGTGGAACAGTTCTTGGTTGTACCATCAAATATTAAAGGAGGAAGCATCTCATTCAGTGGATCCATACAGCTTTTTGGGTTCTGTATTTTTGAGTCTTGTGTGGGTATCTTTTGGCCCTCTATTATGAAGATGCGATCTCAGTACATACCTGAGGAGGCCAGGAGCACCATCATGAACTTCTTTCGTATTCCCCTCAATATTTTTGTCTGCATCGTGCTTTACAATGTGAGCACTCCACTTCTTATATGCTTTTAGTTTTCCTTTGCCTTGTTCATCTGCTTTAATTACTATTTCTTTTGGGTTTTGGTTCTTAACAGTTTTAGTGCCCTTCAGTGGGCTCGGCAATGATCCATATTTCTCGTTTTGGTTTTGCATGTGATAAGTTTGGAAAAAGAAATTTCAATTATTGTTTTTCTAATCTTCTCCAGCCTTTTCTGTATGCTATCCTCTTGCAATTTGAGAGCAAGACATGTCAATTTCCTCGTTAACTGGGTTACTGGTCTTGGGTTTTACAGGTGAATGCTTTCCCTATCACTGTCATGTTTGGTATGTGCTCAATTTTTCTCTTCATGGCTTCAGTTCTTCAGAGGCGATTGATGATTGTTGCAGAAAGCCACAAGTCGAGTAAGTCAACTCTAGTTCTCTCATTAATAATGCATTCTACACTTATGAATTATCGAGAGCAATGAGTGCAAGAATGCCGTTTTAAGACTAGAGTTTCTAGATTCTCGGCAAACTTTTCGGTGACTTCCTTTTTTTATGTACAGAGCCACAAGACACTTGGGCCAAGGAGAGAGATGTAGAGGAAGAGCCATTGAATATTTAAGTTCCCAACGGGGTTGTGACCACGAAGGTCTAAGAAATGCAGTTGGCACCTTTCAGTTTAGCTATTTGGAATCAAGTACTTCATGAAGGATAAACGTTTCAACTCAGTGGATTCCCTTCTTTTTAAGTTAAAGCAGCTGGTGAGGATCTTGAGTGGAAGATCTTGATCTCTTAATGAGAGATGATTTTATTGTTTCTAGCTGGCCACTCTGTTGAATCAGTGGGCTAAGTAGCTTGCCAACATTGAGTGATACCAAACAAGGGTTCATGTTAGCATTGATCAGTGGGCTAAGAATTTTCATTATGTATTTTTGGTTTTTTTTTTGTTAACTAATTGGGTTAGGGATGGAAGTAAGCATGAAGGTTTTAGCGTTGGCAGGGATATTCTTCTCCATCAGGTATTCATTTTGTAGTACCCGAAAGCTTCATTCCATACTCGACAATGGATTGTTAAGTGTCTATAATAAAACTTATACCTCTTCATTTACTAAATGTAAGCATAAGTTAATTGTCTTCTAATGGCAATGAAATATTGAAGAATTAAAGCTTTTGTTCTTCTCTTCTCATGGTAATGAATTATTGAAGAACTGATCTCGGGGAACATTCAGGGCAATTGCCAATGTCTTGCAATATGTAGAAGCATAATCTGGTGCATAGAGTGGTTGGTCTTTGTGATCCTTCTTCATTAACTACCTTTGCAAATGTTGTAGCTGCCTTAGTTGCGGTACCCAGTTTCATATGTTTTATATTTGGAAGGAATGAGATCTAGATCTCAATTGCATCCATTGTTGAAGAGTATAAGTATTGCACAGGTTAGTTGGTTGAGATATACTGTAATTCCACTTAATTGGATCTAAAGTTTAGCTCTACAATGTTTTCTAAAATCGACTTGGGTGAACGGTTTGGCCATCTTGAGCTTATACAAAATTTCAAAGTATATTTAAAAAGTTTTAAAAATCAAATTTAGTTGGGATTATGGAAGAAAAAATTGATAAAAGTGACATCAAAATGATCAAATAAGTGTAAATATGGGATTTGGTTCCTGTTGGAGTGCGCGGTCAATAAATGCAGCAAACTATCAATAGTGATACACGTATTATCAATTAAAATATTAGTATCTTATAGTGGTACACATATTATCAATTAAAATATTAGTAGCTTATTTAAGAAATTTTTTTATATAAGGTGTGAACCCTACTGTAAGAGTATGGTGAACTTAAAAAACCCAAGAAGTTGTTCCTGTCTTAAAAAACCTTCAATTAAATATTCTGGCGCATTATTTGGACAATCTATTTAAGTATTTATAGATTTGTTTGATCGATCTATTTAAGTATTTATAGATTTGTTTGATCATCACTATTTGAGAATTCTAAATTTTATGATTGGAGGCCGTAAATAGATTTTCATATCATCACACAAGGCTTAACAACACCAAAACTGCATTTTCAGTATAATTTTAAGGGGCACCTTACTTCAACATAATAAGGTTAAATCTCACCCCTTATTTAAATGAGTTAAAACGTAGAGCTTGAAAACAAAAACGAAAAACGTGGGCCTAATGAAATTGACCCACGTAAGGTTGAGGGAGGGGCCTTGGGGATTGGGTCGATGAGATTAACCATATATGATCGTCCACTGACCCACGTGAGGTTGAGCGACGGGCCTAGGGGTTTGGGTCTAATGACATTAATCATATATTGAGGGACGGGCCAAAGGGGTTTGGGTCTAATGAGATTGGCCCACGTTAGGTTGACGGTCGGGCTTAGGCGTTTGGGTCTAATGAGATTAATCGTATATGATGTTTAACCGTTAATTAATCAAAGAACAAAAAAAAAGAGTAACTTAAATAAGGGTTTGTTTAGAGTTAACAACCACTCAAAATACAAAAGTTCAAGTTAAAAGGGTTTGTGATGGGTGTATGTATAAAAACTATATATTAATTTTTGTTTAAAAAATTATTTTAATAGGTAATCTATTAAGAAAATGTCATTTTACATTTTTACAAAAGTATAATGGCATTTTAGAAGTTAGTGTCTTGAAATTTTATTTATAGAGTGCCCTTGTCTTATAGTAAAAATTTCAACTTTACTCTATATGGAGATGACAAAAGTACTCCTTGTCATGTAGTAATATTTACAAAATTGCTTTTACTTAATGATGAAAAATAACTTTTTTGAAAAAATATACTACAAAATTAATAAATCCATCATTCACAACTCTCTCTATCTTTAACCTTTGTAATGAAGGGTTATGAAGTTTAGATTATCCCATTAGATAAAGGAAAAAGTCTATAGAATGATACAACCTTATAACGTAGAACTATGGATGCCCCTAAAAAATCCATCGAAAAAGATAGTTTTAATGTTGAAAAACCTTTTGATTGATCATCTCGACATCGAGATGTATGACCATGAAAAATAAAAATATTTTAAATCTTAGAAATAGTGCATTTTATAACATATTATCTACACTATCCATTTTCAAGATTTTCATATGTTTATAGATCTACTTGATTTTAACCATTTTTTAAATTTAAAATTTTATAATTAGATATAAAAATAGATTTTGAGATAATCGTAAGAACAATTTATATCAAAATTATATACTATGATAAAATTTTAAGGTGCAGCTTACCTCTACACCGACTGATGCATCCGTATGCAAACTGCACTTTTTTATATAACATATATTTTTTAGCATTTATTTAATTGGTAATAAAAATAAAGAAGTGAAAATTATTTCAAAAACTAAAAACTTTAAATTCACAATTTTAGACCTTAAATATTAAAAACTGGTTTGGCATTTTTAAGTATTTGTTAGTTTTCAAATAGTAACAAAAAAGAAATAACAAAATTAAAAAAAAAGTGAAAAGTACTCATAAAATTTTCATGGCAATTATGAAATTCATAATTCGATGAAAAATACCTAGAATAATAATATAAAAAAAAAGAGAAAAAAAAATAAAAAAAAAAGAGCTACCAAATCACCCTCATTATCATTAGTGTTTATAAAGTTTCTTGAAAATTATATTAGTTTAAGATTTTTAAACGTGATAACAGCATTTAGCATAAAATTTGAAAGTACAAAGTTTTTATTAAAAAATAACAAATAAAATAATCTCATAATAAGCTTGTGAGCTAAAAAAAAAGTATAAAGTAGGTGATTGTGATTATTCGAATAAAATAACTATATACCTTCCCGTAGCATGATTTTTCTAGCACAATTCACTCTAAATCTTCTTCTACTATGCACAAGAAGTAGTAGCATTTCAAATTTTAATAAATGTAATATAATTATAAAAATATGAACTTAGTGAACAATAACAAATTGATACCAAAAAGGAAAATAAAAATAAAAATTGATACAAATTTTTTACAGAAAACTATATTCAAAGAATACAAAATAATAAAATAAGTAGAAAGTATTAATCGAGAGTGTTAAAGGCAATAGTTAAACCATATGTAAATCTACTCTACATATATGGGTGATGGGAGACGCATCATGAAAAATTACAAAATCATATAGCAATAAACAAATAGAAAAGTTCACTTAAAAGTTGTAGAATGTATTTATTTTCAAATATCTGAAAATTATAATAAAATATAAAATAACTTGTAAATTTTAGAAAGCATGGAAACACAAAAACAAACTTATTTTTTAAGAAAAATAAATTACTAAATTACAAAAACAAAACTATTATTTAGAACTGCTAATAAAAAATAATTTTGTGGAAAGAAAAATAATTTTTAAAAGAAAAATAAATTACTAAATTATAAAAACAAAGCTATTATTTAGAAGTGCTAATAAAAAATAATTTTTTGTGGAAAGAAAAATTAGTTTTAAAAGATTGGTCTGAAACTAATAGGCATAGAAATTCATATCTATAATTTTCATTTTCAGTGATGATTTGTATCTCATAGACAATGTTATTTAAATTTTTTAAAATCCATAGTAAAAAGCTTAACAAAGTTATAATCAAGTCATGCTACTAAAAAGTTATTATTGTATTAATCCTACAATCATACTTATCATTAGTAATGATTATTAATATTATTAAAACTTCAAAATTAAATTTTTTTTTAAAAAATAGACGAACAATAACATAAAGCTTACTTATGAAGTTGAAAATACCTTATTATTGCCTTCTTGCTCAATTCCCATATATACTCAAATATCCATGTAATTTGAACACCACTCATCAACGAAAATAATTATAATCAAACATATAAAATCCTATAGCAATAAACAAAGGGTGTGGTTTCTATAAGGTTGCAAGCTTAAACAATCCAATTAAGGCGCACCTTCAAATTTTATGATAACATGTATTTTTGGTATAATTTTCCTTTTAGGATTGTCTGAAAATATATTTTCATATCTAATTATAAAATTTTAAACTAAAAAAATGATTAAAATAAAGTAGATCTATAAACATATGAAAATCTTAAAGATAGACCGTCTAGATAATGTGTTGCAAGATGCACTATTTCTAAGACTCAAATTTATTTATTTTTCATATTCATACACCTCGATATCGAGATGATCAATTAGAAGGTTTTTCAACATTAAAACAACCTTTTCCGATAAGTTTTTGAGGTGCATATTTAATTATACATTTTAAGGTTGCAACGTTATATAGTTTTTTTGAAAAATGTTTATCCAAGGATACAACCTAAAATTGTATAACTACGGATGCACCTAAAAAGTCCATCGGAAAAGGTTGTTTTAATGTTGAAAAATCCTCTAATTGAGCATATCGACATCGAGATGTATGATTATGAAAGAAAGAAGGATTTAGAGTCCCAAAAACAATGCATCTTACAACACATTATCTAGATGGTCCAATTTCAAATTTTTCATATATTTATAGATATACTTGATTTTAACCATTTTTGAAGTTTAAAATTTTATAGGGAAAATAACATTTACTCCGTTTAAAATTTTATAGGGAAAATAACATTTACTCCATCCCCAAAATTTCCATCCCTATTAGCCCCTTGGGTTTAATAAAATCCATGTACATCCTCAAGTTTAAAATTTTGGAACCTTTAGACCCCTAATTATGTCGTTCTTTGTTTTTTTTTTACAAATTTAATATTTTTTTTTTACAAAATGTCGAACCCTTCCATTAGTTAACTTTCTTTCCTTTCTCTTTGTTACCCAAAATCAATCTTACCTCCGTTGACCCCACTCTATAAATTTAGACATGAAAAGAATATGATTTTTTTAGGTATTATGATGTATTTTACAATTGCATCAATATCTTTTGAACTTGGAAAATGATTAATCAATATCTTTATTGCTATTGTTAATGGATTATTATTATTTATTTATTCATTTTATTAATTTTTTCTCAAAATACCTATAAGAGTTGAATTATTTAACAATTAATATATTATTGTTGTTATTATTGTTATAATTATAATTAATTGTTTTTATTATTATAATAAATTGTTGTTATTATTATTATTAGAAAAAATTATGTTAATATCCATTATACTTTCCGTTATTACGGATATAAGTAATAGTTTCCGTTATTACCTGGATGTCTGTTTTTTATCTTTC